TTATCTGAGAGCATCCTGTTCATCATTTCTTGTAGATCAATAGTATTCCATCACAATTATATCAACAAACTTGTTCGCATTCCCAATTGATGGACATCCTCTCAGTTCCAATTCTTTGCCACCACAAAAGTGCTGGTTATAGATATTTTTGTATTCATAGACCCTTTTCCTTTTTTTCTCTTTGGATATAAACCAACAGTGGTATTGCTTGATCAAAGGTATGCATGATTTGTAGGCATTTGGGCATAGTTCAAGTTGCTGTCGAGTGGTTGAATCAGTTCATGACTTCACCAACATTGCATTAGTGTCTCAATTTTCCCACGTCTTCTCCAACATCCCTCATTGCCATTTTCATTTTCTGTCATATTAGCCAGTCTGATACATGTGGGGTCACAGCTCGACTGTTTTGATTTGCATTTCTCCAATCAATAGTGATTTAGAGCCATTTTCATGTCTACTATAGATAGCTTTGACTACTTCATCTAAAATCTGCCTGTTCATATCCTTTGACCATTTATCAATTGAAGAATGGCTCTTATTTCTATAAAATTAATTCAGTTCTCTATATTTTTGAGAAATAAGGATTTTAACAATAGAAATTTGCTATAAAATTTTTTCCACATTTATTTTTACTATGTATTTTCCTCTATCATATTACTCCTCTGTTCATCCTACTCTCTTTCCTTTCATCCTGTCCATTCTCGAAAGTGTTTTTTTTCTGGCTTTTACCTCCCCCAATCTGTCCTTGATTCTATTAGTACCCCCATTCCATTCCCCTCCTACTTTCCTACCTGGTAAGATAGATTTCTATACCCAACTAAGTGTGTATGTTATTCCCTTTTTCAGTCAATTCTGATGAGAGTAAGGTTCATGCCCCCCTCACCTTCCCCATCTTTTCCTCCACTGTAAAAATTCTTTCGTGCTTCTTTTACGTCAGATAATTTATCCCATTCTACCTCTCCCTTTCCCCTTCTCCCAGGGCAATCCTCTTTCTCGTCCTTTAATTTCTTTCAGATAATCATCCCATCATATTCAATTCATACCCATGCCTTCTGTCTATGTATACTCCTTCTAACTGCCCTAATAATGAGAAAGATGTTAGGAGCTACAAATATCATCTTTCCATGTAGGAATGTAAACAGTTCAAATTTAATAAGTCCCTTATGATTTCTCTTCTCTGATTACCTTTTTATGCTTCTCTTGAATCTTGTATTGGAAAGTCAAATTTTCTATTCAGCACTGTTCTTTTCATCAGAAAGGCTTGAAAGTTCTCTATCTCATTGAATATCCATTTTCCCCCTGAAGGATTATATTCAGTTTTACTGGTTGATTCTTGGTTGTAAACCTAGCTCTTTTGCCCTCTGGAATATCATATTTCCAAGCATGGTAGCATTTCTGAAGTTCTTAAAGTAAAATAAGGATTCAAATGTCAATAAATAGCAACTTGAATTTCTTCATACAGGAGGTACATAATATAAGAATTATTTTTCCAACATACCAGGAGATTAAAGTTCACATTCACACATCTAGTAAATATAAAAGCCAGACTCAAACCCTGGCCTTCTAACTCAAAATATAATGTACTTTTTATTTTTCTATTTTTACTATGCTGCATACCCTATGTGACTTAATTAGATTTCACCACACTTCTTTTAATATTATTACTAGAAAAGCAATCAGAACCATGGCCAAAGTTAATTATTGGTTCAGTCATCACCACTTGCTGAAGAATTCATTGGAGCCAAGATGTCTGGGCTTCTTTGGCAACATATAAAGCTATTAACCAAGGATTTAAGGACAAGGAAGGATTGATAACAAGTCACTTTTTAAAAAACAAGCTGACTTATTGGGGTTATCAGGCTATTTGCTTCTAGGAATTAGCATGGGCATTTGTGAATTATCTATGTTTCTGAAGGAGGAAGTTCCCTGGTCTTTATGTCTCTTCTCTAGAGTGTTAATTGGTAGAAAAACAGCAACAAAAAAATTGTCTCTCTGAATTCTATTCCTTGCTTAAGTGAATGGCATCTTGTGACAGCAAGTGCCATTTACTCTGTGGGGCAAAGAGTCAGTGTTCTGATGAGGCAGGAGCCTGTGATTTCTCAGACTGGTACATATCCTGAGATTTTTTTTTCTACCACTCTGAAGACATATTTTGAGAGTCAAAACATGCCTCATTAGATGTCAATCTCCCTTTTTTCTCAGTGATTTATATGAAAATCATTTCTTTCTCTTGGGGAGTGGAGATGACTTAGGACTAAAAATAGTGACTAGATGGACAGATGGAGGAAATGATTACAAAGCTCTTTCCAGAGAAATTTGGAAATGAAGTGATAGTGATTTTGAATGAACAAACAAACAAACAAACAAACAAACAAACAAACAAATAAATGGACAAACATTGACCACAACACAAATCCCTCAAAAAGGGTAATCTCATCCCAAAGCAGATACAGGTAAAACTTTTAAATAGCTCTGTTGATGAACCAGTCTCAATACACACACTTTCCCAGGCTTGATTTAAATTGACCCAGGTCTGAAAATAAAAGTGGAAAATCTAGTCAATTTACATCTCTAAGTTAGAGGGGACAATTCCAGGGTCCAAAATATTCATTGGGATAGAGGGACTCAAAATATGGTGCAAAACAAAATGCCTGATTGTTGTGGGATGGAATGAGCCTATCCCTCTTCTCATTAGGGAAGACACATTGCTTTCACCTGGGGGAGGGGAGGAAAAGAATAAACTCACTCTTCTCCTTTTTCTTTCCCCTTGGCCTAGGTTCTATTTAAGGAAAGGTTTAAGGACAATTAATCAGAGTTCAGGACATGTGCTCCCTTCACCTGTTTCCTGAGTCTAGGAGAAAAGAACATTAAGGAATTCAGAGAAGGTTGCACACCATGCAGAGAATTATTAAGCGATGTATACTCTAACTGCTCTCTGGATCCCACTCCCTTTGAAGTCTACACAGGGGACAATCTGTGTGAGCAAAGGAACATTCAGAGAAATGCCTCACTTACAGAAGTGGACAACCTTTCTTTACCATCTGTACTCTCGCTAGAGTCATTACTGGGAATATTTTTACCAGGGGACAAGCACTAAAAACCAGGCACTTAGGGAAAATAGCCTGAAAAGTAGCCTTGATTAGGTAGGAGGAAAACCCTATCCAGTAAAGAGGCAGAGATCCTGGGACATGAGGGGGAGCTAGGTAGTGGAGTAGATAGATGGCTGGACTCAAACTCTTGAAGATCAGAATTCAAATTATGTCTCAGTGCTTACTAGCTACATGACCTTGGGCAGCCAATTTGCTTTCCTGAGTAAATTTCTGTCTCTGTCTCCCAAACTTCTTCTTCTTTTTTTTTGCATCAACAATTTTTCCCTGTTCAGCTTCTCAAACTTTATCCAGTCCTGCAGCCCAGAGGAACTCAATAGGAGAATCAGGTATCACAGAGAGAAGGAGAAATACCCCCAAGATAACCACTCCCTAAATTCAGATCATAAGGGTAAGGAACACTTTTAGGCACCTTAATTCAAAACAGATCTTTCCAAAGGAATTTATAATGAAATGATAAATAGAGGAACACCATAAAGAGATGTTAGTTACCCTAGATTTGGATCTAGATGATCTGGGCTGGAATCCTGGCTTGCCATTTATTAATTGTGTGACTTTAATCAAGTCATTTAACTTCTTGGGGCCTCAGTTTCTTTACTTTAAAGATGTAGTACAATGCTATCCTGGTAGAACAACTCACTGTTCCAGGAGACCAGTACTCTAGGCCAAGGCTAGACCTCACACTCTTCCTGCCCCCACCTATAGTTGCAAACAGAGCTTAAGTCCTACATGTATTGACCTTTGCCCAAAGAGACAATCAAGATGTTCCTCCAGATACTGTCATACCAGTTAAGGCTTTCCTCCAGGTAGAACTTGTTTATGTCTCTCCTCTTAAATTCTTCACTTCATATTCCCCAGCTTCTGGCTCTGCTCCCCCATTCTTGCTGAGAAGAATACAATAGTTTCTCACCTATCCTTTGGATTTCTTTCCCAAGAAAAAATTTGTCTTCCTTGAGCAAAAAACTTAATGACTAGCCTGATTTGCAGCTCTAATTCTCATACCCTCTTCAGTATAACATGCATTTATTAAAACTTTGTTACTAGAATTATCTTATTTTAAGCCTATGAGAAATATAATAGCCCCTAATGTACATGTAATTCTTTTGTGGTTTTAGGTAGTTTATTTTATATGAAAAATTATGAGTTCTATCACAATTTTTATGAGTCTGTAGTTAAGTCAATTTCTAACATTTAGGCAGACATTGAGCTATCTGTCTTGGTTTACATTTATATCTATCTCTAATAATCCCTAGGCCCCTTTGTGTTTGAGGCAAGCATTTCTGCAAAAGAACAACAATTATATTATAGTGTCTGTGGATGGAAAGGCAACATGAAGGAAAGGTGGGTAAAGAGAAATAATTTTCTCTGGCTTTCCCTCAGTTCTTCACTTGGTTGGTGTGCTAATGACATCAGCCAATGTCTTCTGTTCTAGGATGCTTGTAAGACCATTGGTCCTTTTCAATTTGTTCCTTTTCTAATATAGATCAATTCTACCTTTTCTTTCTCTATTAATTTGTTGCCCCTGGGTTGCTAGTTAATTTTGATTTAGTTTAGTATGACCTCACTTTTCTCTTTTCAATTTCTGACCCTTAGAGTCTTATATGGTTCTGAGATAACTCTTTCATTGTATACTTGTGACCAACTCTTTCACATGATGGCTTTAATTGATTCATAAGGTGTACAGACTATGTATGCATTCAGTTCTGGTAGATGATTCAATTAAGAAGTGTTTTTCAAAAAAAATTAACAAAATTAATTTCAAGAGGGGTGGGATCATCAACAGAGACTTACTATTGCCCATCAATTCCCTGGCATTTTCTACTGCATGATTAGATGATAACCCTATGTGATCTTTTCCTCTCCTTGTCTCTTTCAGATTGACAAGATTTTCCTCAATGCCAAGACCAAATTCCACAGCTATAAGTGAGTTCACCTTTGAGGGATTCTCCAGCTTCAAGTGGCAGCACCAGCTCATTCTCTTTGTGGTCTTTCTAGGTCTGTACTTTATGACACTGACTGGCAATGGCATCATTGTGACCATCATCCACCTTGACCATCATCTCCACATACCTATGTATTTCTTCCTGAGTGCATTGTCCATCTCTGAGACATGCTATACATTAGCCATCATTCCTCGTATGCTGTCTGGCTTCTAAGACCACACCAACCTATTGCCATCCCAGAATGTGCTACACAGCTATTCTTTTATCTTATGTTTGGCATCAATAATTGTTTCTTGCTCACAGCTATGGGTTATGATCGTTATGTGGCTATCTGCAATCCTTTACGGTATTCAGTCATCATGGGGAAGAGTGCTTGTGCTCAGCTGGCATGTGGATCATGGGTAATTGGCCTTGGAATGGCCATTACTCAAGTAACATCTGTGTTTTGCCTCCCCTTCTGTGATGCCAGTGTCATCTCCCACTTTTTCTGTGATGTCCGGCCTCTCCTAAAGCTTGCCTGTGTTGACACCACTGTCAACGAGATCATTAATTTTGTTGTCAGTGTGTGTGTCCTTGTATTGCCCATGGGCTTAGTCTTTATCTCCTATGTCCTAATTATCTCTACTATCCTCAAGATTGCCTCAGCTGAAGGCAGGAAGAAGGCTTTTGCCACATGTGCCTCCCACCTTACTGTAGTCATCATCCATTATGGCTGTGCTTCCATCATTTACCTCAAACCAAGTCCCACAGCTCTCTTGAGCAAGACAGACTTATTTCAGTGACCTATACTGTCATTACCCCCTTGCTGAACCCTGTTGTATACAGTCTAAGAAACAAGGAAGTCAAGGATGCTCTGCGAAGAGCTCTGGGCAAGAAACCCCTTTCCACTTAAGTGACCTGAGCCAGAAAAGGTGATTTAGTCGCAGTCCCATCCTCCCAACATCCAACAAACAAGAATATTTCATCTTATTCTCTACTCATAGGTTGCAAAGTAGATAGCTGTAACCAGTTGAGATGGGGATACCCAGTTAATGCTCTTTTCCAGGACAGAACATTATGCCCCTAGTGAGTGAGGAACTGCTGGGTATGTGATCTCTCAAGTCAGGGACAATGATTTGCCACATCGCTTGCTACAAACTCAGATCTGGAGGAGGCATGAAGATGATAGAAGAGGCTTCCAAAGTGTTAGTGAAGACAGATTGCTTGGGATGATATTTCAACCCTGTTGGAAAAATATGAGAATTAAAGGGAGAGGCTAAACAAAGAAAAGTTCTAGAATTCAATTACCATAAAAAAAGGGGTCACATGGGAAGTAAAGGGAGAGATTTCTATAGCGAAACAAGACTGAAACAATTAAGAACCAAATAAATTCTGGTGGCACAGTTCCTAAGCTAGATGAAACTGTACTCTATGACTATAGTAGCTACTTATAATTTGACAACTAGTATACAATTGGAACATGAAGTTTCCTCAAATTATATCTATATAAAATGTATACACATATGTAGTCATATGCATACATATACATGAAAACCTATATATGTGTACATATCTATATTCACAGATATCTATATCTAGATAAATGTACCACTATACACATACATATACAATTATAATACTATGCTCCACACATTGTAGTAACTTGGGCATACAAAGACAAGCAAGTGAGACAGTTGCTACCCTCTCAAGTAGCTTACATGCTAATAGGGGAAGAAAACGTATGAATGAAAAGTGAATAAGGGAGAGGTGCTTGTGGCAAAGTCACATGGAGGCCTGGTTCTGAACAATATGTGATGAAAACTTACCTATCAAAGCCTATCACTTCTAGCAGACAGTCCAAGATCGTGCTGTTGAGGAGATGGTTCTATTGGTCAATGAATTCAAAGCAGTTGAGCATGATATTGCATATGATGCTTTATGAGTGAAGACTGCTGAAGTAATTTTGTGAGCTGGACTATTTTTCCAATGTTACAGCTTAAAAAAATGAATTTCTCCCCATGTCTCTAAACAGTTAACTGGTGAGAGTAGAAATGAGGATTAGTAACTATAGAGAGGCTCTCGTTTAGGCTTTCTCCTTCATTATATCAGAGACATTCTTCATCAAACTGATTAGACAAATTCTCATGATGCCAGGCAAAGTGTTCATGTTTCTTGAACTTCCAGACATTCCCACTCCCATACTTTCTAAAAAGAACAAAAGTTCAGGTCCTCCATGAGTGCCTGAGGGACAAAAAATCCATTGCACTCTGGAGACCCTTCTCCTCTTTAAATGATAATATATCTGAAATGCTCTAGTGATGTGCACAGCAGAGTAGGAAATTCAAATCAAATAAGGCATTATTTGGCTCTCAGTATGTCAACCAATAAGCATTTACTAAGTAGTTACTACATATCGAACTCTGAGCTAAAGGCTAGAGATACAAAAAAAGCAAAAACAGTCCTTATACACAAGGTGCCCACATCCTAATGTGGGAAGATAACATGTAAATAACTAAGTATGTAGAGGATATATACAGAGCAGAAGGAAGATAATCTCAGAGGAGAAAGCAAATTATATGGACAGAAAACTGCATCCTGTAAAAAGTGAGGTTTTACCTCCTCATGTTACGCAGTTTTCAAATAAATTGGATAAGCCATTTGATATCATAGTTACTGGAAAGTCCATTAGGTATGATTAGAAATGGAATTTATGCCCCTCATTTATTGCCCTCAATCCATGGAATCAGGGGCAGGCCATGGTCAGTCAATCAGCTCTAATATCAACATGGTTAGGCTGAGGCTGCAGGGTTGGTAATCCATACTATTACTTATGTTTACCAAGCCAATGAGGTTTGCTTGGATTTAGCTCTGAAGAAGCCTTACTTCTTAGTAAAGGTAATAGGCTTCTCATTCTCCTAAATTATCGGCTTATTAAAACTTTCCACCTAGTCTAGTTCAGGGACAATTCTACTTCTGTCTGTAGCCTTGGCTATCCTACAAAGAGGTTAATAAAAGAGGTGCCAAATGTATAAACCGGATCAGGTACCGAAAAGGTCAGTTATTTCCACATAGAAAACAATGGTGAGAATGAAAGACTGCCTGTGTACATGGACAGAAAAATTTAAACAGGTTTCAGTATCTTAAGCTGTTACTATTATAGTCAATTACAAAACTATTCAAGTCTAATTGGGATAAGAAATAATTTTGAAAGACTGCTGAATAGCCATTTAACCTCCATTGGCACTCTACAATCTATCAACAAAGCTTGATTTTTCCAGTGATTTCTCTCAGATGCCAACTTGTCCCTTGGTGCCAGTTTGCTACTGCTGCTGCTTAGGCAGTCTCTCTGTGCTGATGCTCAGGTGCCTGAGAAGTGAAAGATGCTAATTTCTATCTTTGCAATCTTTCCACACCTTTTGATGCTCACAAAGTGAATGCTTAAAGCAAGGAAAGAAACAAGAGAGGCCAAAGACCTCATTTCAAGTTTGGCTAGTTGAATCCAATTTCTGCATAAAGAGTGGCACCATATTGCTGGGGTAGAAAAGGACTGCCTTTCTCTTTCTTTAGATGAAATGACCTCTAGTCACATGGTTGACTGTATTCAATTGGGCCAGAAACTAGAAGCCACTACTTCTTTTACCACGTAGGGTTGCCTGTATTATTAACTCAGCAACCAATTAGGGGACTTTCAGCCATGAATTATGAGCATGACCAGAAGGTGACCCTCCACAGCATTTTCTTTATGGAGAAGACTAGATTAATAATAACCCCTTATATTTTATAAGTATTTAAGAATTCTTCAATTCCTTGAATATATATGAGCATATTTGGCCTTAAAAATAACCATGTTACAGTTAGGACAAGTATCATAAAACCATTGAAGTTCAGAGGGTAAAATGATTTGACCTTGTAGTTACATAGAAATAAAGATATTTCTTCCACACATATAGTGTTACATCCAAACACTGGGTCTGTTGGCTTCTTCCTCAGTGTTCTCAATTCTTGTGCAGAGAAAGGAAGGGTAAGAACTATATCAATTAGATGCTACATTTGTCAGGGCTATCTCCCCAACACTTTCCAAGTGCTGACATTATTTCATGAGAGAGCACCAGAACTCAAACCTATTTAAAGTGTCAGGGCTCAAAAGACCCCAGAGTGTGCCAGACTTTAACAGCCCTAGTAGTCATTCATTCTAAACTTCCATATATCCTTGTAGAGGCCACTTATTTTAGAGACTCCTCAAGCCCTGGATGTACCTTACCTCAATTTCTTTACATTGAGAGAATTGTGTGAACCAATCTAATTCAATCTTGTAAAACTGACTCCATTTTGAAACTTAAGTTTCATTTTCCACCTGCTTCCTAATTGAGTGATGTCCTTTTTCATATCTTGGAAAGTCCACCTGCTCACTCAATCCCTTGCTAACTCCTGAAACTTGCTCATTCTCCTCCCAACTCAAAAAGTCCTTAAATGTTCTTCCAAACAGAAATCAGATTACCTAGTTTTGTATCATGGTTTATATCCTATAATTTGCTTTTAATGCATAAAAATCTGTCTCCTCCTGTATTCAAGGTTCAGTGTCAAGCTGAAGAGGCCTCATCCTGATTTGTTATGCAATTGGCCTGCATTGCTTAATAAGTTAATATGCTTGGAAGCTCAAACCTTTGTTTCTTCAGTTATTTCAGATTTTACTCATCATAAATTGTTTGGCAAAGCCAGCTAGGTCAAGTCAGAACTCTGAACCCTAGGATGAGTGCCTTTCAGAAAAACTTCTTTGCTCCATGGGACTTCTTCATTGAGGACTTCTTTTGGAGGTAGGACTCTCCTCTTGATTTCAATTCTTCCAAGATAAGGTAAGCCCCAACATTGTTGAGGGCAATAAACCTCCACATCATTGGGGCAGGTGTTTTCCTGGGAAGGCTTTTTCAGAGAATAGATAAATTTCCCCTTAAGTTGGGGAAGAATATACTATGTGTCACAAAGAGCAATATTGGTGATTGGCATGATCAGTAGTCACAAATAACAATAGTTGGTGAGCGACTGACAAACTAGTAGTGGGAACTATTAAATTATGTGAGATTTGGTTTAAAACTGCAAGAGTTTCAGCTAATAGAATATTTTGGCCTCAGTTTGGCACTTCTGATTGTTAATGAAATTAAGATTGCTCTATAATTTGTAAAACACCAAATGGGACCCGAATTTGGCCTGAAAAATGGACTTTAAGTTACTGCAAGTTTTATAAAATTGTGTACATTAAGTTTTTCTATCTTACTGTATTGTCTGAGTTTTTATGTCTTTGTAAAATGCTCAGAAAAAAAAATTTTGTTTTATATTATTGTGTTTAATGCTGTTTGTTGATTCTTCTACCTTGGAAGATTTCTAATAGGAAAATGCAGCCAGTCAGGAAAAAAAAAACTGCTATAAAAAGCTACAGTCAATGAGTTTAGTATGCTGGGAAAGATTAATAAAGTTTCATAGTTGAAGCAGTTCCCTCAGTTTTCTGTAATCAGATGCTGAACTCCCTATCCCAGTAAGTAGGATTAACTTTCACTTTAGGCTTTCAGTGGACATTAGGTTAAAAAGGAAAAAAAACCCTGCAAGATACTTTTTCTCTGTCATTTCACCTTAGATAGGTTAGGGTTACAGAATAAAGTCAGATAATCAAAGAAAGAAAACCTTTTTCCTGGTTTGTAGAAATTTGTGGCATTGTAAATTAATTATAGACTGAATTTGTAACTCCTAAAAATATTGTAGTAGATTTTGGAGTTCTGGAGGCTTGGAAATTAAGGAGATTGGAAATTAATCATTAAAAAGTTTGGAGATTAATCAGTTTAAAATTGAGAGAACTCCTGGGACTTTGGATAATTCAAGGAATTTACTCCTTTCTCCTTAGCATAAGCTTAGTAAATGTGA